AATTTGTGCCACTAACTACTAATTACTACTTATAACCGTACGGATTACACACGTGTGCCCGTGGCCACGCCAGCGGTTGTAGCACGTGTGACCCGCGGGGTACTACTGTACTCCGCTACGGGCGCGTGTAAGCCCGGTCGCTACAGTAGCACCCGCTCTTCAGTCCGGTTTACATCTCCCCGGGGTGGTCGTGGTACGCAATTGTACTACAATCCTCGCGAGCCACAGTGACTCTCGGTCTCTACGCCCACGGGTTGCAGCTCTTCTCAGCAATTTGCAACGCCTTATCTTGCCTAGCTCCTCCTTCGTTCTTTGTCTGGTGTGCCGTATGAAGGCGATCACCTTCCAGCCTCCAACTGCGTTACGAACCTCCAGCGTGGGGTACGGTAGGCGGTACCGCTTTCTTCAGCCATTGCGTCCTATCAAGCCAGGGACTCCCGTGATTCCGCCTGTGATCGCCTCATTCGTCGGAAGTCCCCTCGCCGCGGTTACCGGACTTAACGGAACGTCCAGTGGCCCTGTTCGGGAGGTCGTCCGACTCTTTAGCTCATAGAGGGGATTTGCCTACGCCTCGAGCTGTCTGCTGTCAACGGCACCGACGGCAAGGATTCTCGTATTGTGGCTCATGACGAGGGCCACTTTTCTTTCGGGGAGCCCGTACTGCCTTGTCCTTACGTAGCGCGTCTCTGGGGTTCGGAAATCAAATACGGCTTGACTTCTGAACGTCCCTATTCAACCGTAACGAAACGGTTAAATTTAGCCGTAACGGAACGGTTGAGGGCCCTCCCTTAAGAGTGAACGTCCGCGTTCACGTCAGAGGTGAGGTCCCTGCCGGGGCGTCTCCGGAGACGTTGGGCGTAACGAGACACCAACTCCTCCGGAACGTGAGTCCGTGCGGTCCAAGTGGGCGTGTCGTAATCCGACCACTTGATGAAGAACTCCGTAGTTCCGTCCTCCATGGCTCGATGCCGGAGTAGTCGTTCGACGGCGTACTGCGTACCCTTGGTGACCTTGTCGGCAAGATCACCCGGAGTTGTCGTACTCGCCCGTGGTGCGTCCGTTGGTGGAGCCGCGTAAACGCAGCGGTCTGTCGAGACGCGCTCGGTGACACGATCACGATCGATCGTGATGGTTCGCTTGTCATTTTCGAGGACGTGGTATGGCCAAACAGCGGTTGACGCGAGTTTATTAGACGTCTTTACCCCATCCGTGTGGTTCCGGTAGACATAATTACCTGGCTTGAGGCGGGTACAGTGCCTTCTGTCGGCGGCGGGCACTTCGCTGGGGGTCGTTCGTGCCGATCCCTCCCTTGTCGACGGTGTCCTCTCTGCGGAGCTAGGTCGGCCAGCTCCTGCCTTCCCGACTTGATCGATCAAGTCGGTGAGGTGTAGCGCATATGCGATCTCCTCGGGGACACGGCGATCGGTGGGATCTTTGGGGCGTATTGCATTGGCCCACGCCTCACGCTCCGTCTTGTGCACGTGGCTTACGGAAGACTCGGTGCCTTCACGGTCGGTCCGTGGCATCTGACCTACGGAGGTCAGGGTGTCTTCTCTTTCGTTCACACGCGCCGGGCACACGGAAGCCTGGGCGCCTTCGCGTTCTTCGCGGATGGTGGTCGCCACCGGACTCACCAGAGTCTCCTCGTGGGGCGAAGCGTGCCCTCCCACCCGAACGGGTCGAGAATCCTTGACGCGGGGGGCCGGCTTCGCCCGCCGACTGCCGGAGGAGATTGCGCATTTCGGGCCGCGTCTCTATCTGGTAGTGGTAGTCCCTGTACGCCGTGAACATTCGTTGTTCCGGGGACAGGAACTGGCACGCGTACATGGCGTGACTGTACGTACGCCATAGCCAACACTTGTACGCGCTGCCATCTCCCGAGGCGAAGATCGCCGCTTCGCGTGCCTCCTCATCGGTGAGGCAGGGCAGGCGAGGAGGAGCGACTCCTCCATCTCGATTCGAGATATATAACTCGGCGACCCGGCGGTCCGTACCACTCGTCACCCTCGAGGTGTGCGGGAACGCAATCGCGAAGCTTCCTGTCGATCTGGTTGATGCTGGCGTGGGAGGTCGGCTTCCCACGGGCTTGCGGCCTCGCGCATTGAAGACAGGGTCGGCCTGCCACTCATCCCCTCCTATGTGGAGGGATGCCGCAGGCGAACTTGTCGCATACGGCCTCGGGGTTCGATTCCCCCTCGCTGCCGGTTTCGGATCCGGCAGCGACAAACCGCGCCGAGCGAGGCACGTTGTGCCACCCGCCTTCGCGATGCGGCGGATCGTTGGACGGTCTGTCTTCTGTTGTCCGGGCAATGGTTGGACGGTCTCATCCACTGCGGCCCGAGTCGCAGGTGCTAGTCCGCGTACGAATTTGTGTAGAATACGGAAGTCTACTGGACCGGGGGCGCGGTGAGATCCACTAGCGGGTAGCCGCCCCAGCGAGGATCGACGGCGAACATAGGTTCCCCAGATCCGCGAGCGGCTCCTCCTCGGTCCGGGGCGTCCGCGTACGATACGCGTGTCATCTGCCACATGCGGCAGGGCTTGGGTCTCGGACGCAAAATTTCCGTCCGACTTGGGGCTTCGCTGCCCCGTGACCCAACTGGTGTCGGAACCAGTCGGGCTCCCTTCTGGCGCGTCGGGCGCGTTCGGAGGTACAGTGGCACCAGGCCCTTTCGGGGGGGGCTCCGGGTGACCTTTCGGCCGATACCTGTTCCATCTTACGAACGCGCCTGACGGGGTAACGGGTAGCGTACGGACGTGTACCGGACCGGGGTGCGCGGTGAGGTTCCACCGGCGGGTAGCCGCTCCAGCGAGGATCGACGGAGAACAGAGGTTCTCCGGATCCGCGAGCGGCTCCTCCACGGCCCGGGTTGGTACGGTACAGAACCCGTCCAGCCTGCCACATGCTTCCGGGGGCATGTGTCAGGGCTTAGGACTAAGACGCGGCTTGCGCGTCCATCGTTAGTCCTCGTTCTCCTGCGCCACGACTGGTGACGGCATCAGTCGGGTGTTGACTTTTTGCGGCGGCAGCGGTCGGAGGTACGGAACCACCGGGCCCTCTCGTTGAGGCGCCGGGTAGCCTTGCGGCCATGATCCGTTCCAGGTCACGGGCACGCTGCCGCGTGGACTCTAACTCAGCGGTCAGGTGCTCGAATGCACCTAGTTGCTCCGCCGAGGGGAGCGGAGCTCGTCCATGCGGCGCGAGTAGACGGCATCCATCACGTTGATTCGCAGGGAAGTACGGACTTCCTCGATGTAGTCCACGATGTGTTCGTACATCGCCGCCGCTTGTCCTTCGGGGACTGGGACGACGGTTCGCGGTTTCGAGGACCTGCGTCTCTGACGTCCAACGGGGCTGATGGAACTTGCATAGCGGCCGCCCGCATATCCGCCGGTGCGGAGCGGATCGAGGCTCCGTACTCCTCACTCATCTCAACGCGTACGGACGCGGAGGAAAACAACTACCTTCCCAGAATGATCTTCGGAGTCTTCTAGGTCGGGAGACCACTGTAGTATAAACACCCCCAACGGAGGGGGGTGTATACTCAGTTCTTGCGGAGACCCCGATAGGAGAAGGGAAGCAACCTCAGCTAACGGAACCGCGAAGCGGGCGCGGGTAGCGTGGTGGTAGAGCGGGTTCGGACGGGGACGCGCGCACGGGCGGGTCGATCTACGCCTCGACGCCCTGGGGCAGCGCTGGGTTACGTACCAGCGCTGACGGGCGGAGGCGGATCTTGGCTCGCTCGTGTGCTCGCGCGTCCCCTGCTCGCTCGGCTCCTAACTAGATACGGGCTATTGTAGACAGCCCGATCTAGAATAAGCCGGGCGAGCTTGACCAAAGGCGTAGGTTCTGGACAAGCTCGTGCTTGTCGCCCCCCTGCCGCCGTCGGTCCGCTCATATTTAATGTACATAGTAGTCTATCATAAATCTACAGTAGTGCCGACCAGCCGGCACTGTAACGCTGTCAGCCGTCGGGGCTGACAGTACACGTGTACATTGCGTATAGTACACGTGTGTGCGTGTGTGCGCGCGTCCCCGTACACGTGGGATACACGCGGACACATGTGGCAGCGCCGTAGAGCGTCGGGCTCTACGGTAGCTGATCCCATCCTGATCTAATCTAAACTACAGCCCCAAGGGGGGGTTATACCACACAGTGCTTGACCTGCTCTCAAAGTTGCTCGATTTTGATCTTTCCAAGAGACTTTCCGCCGCAGAAGTACTGCATCATCCCTATTTCAAAGAGCTCAACGAGAACGTTTCTGAGCTTCCCTGCTGGCCAATACCGAATAATGAGTTTACATACGAGCGTCAACAGCATACTCGGGAAGCCATGCGCAAGCTCTTTCTCGAATAAATTCTCTTGTACCATCTCGAGCGTTCCAAGTAGTATCTACAAGGCCCTGACAGGCAGTACGGGTTTGACATACCCAGCCAAGCGGATACATTTGCAAACCCGATGCGTAGTTAAATGAAAGTATTGTGCAGCGCAAGACGACATCAATGCCTAAGCAATAATTCAAGCCGATTAAAGACTCTTATTTAGCAAAGCGCGAAGCGGAGCGGAAGAAGACCGCGGGCAAAGGTGGCGATGAGGATGGTAAGAACACAACAATGACCGATGTGTCAACTTTGCCATCTGGTGGACTTCCCAAAGGATCATCAGCAAGCTAGTAAGGGGGCCCTTCTCGTACTACGGATGCGAATTACAATGCTCATACGTCGTCTTAGACGAAGATCCGTTTGGGGTCGGGGCTGTAAACAGGCAGGAGGACATGGGCATGGTGCGTGTAAATTCTGTAGGTGTGACTCAAGGAAGTACCGCGCTTCCCGTTTTCCTGTCAGAAAACGCTACACTGAAAGGTCTTTTGCCAAGTCTTCCCATATGAAGCTTACACTTTTGTAGAGCATTGCTCGTGAAAAAGCAGGTTCATATGGGTCATATTTTGCTTCGATCACCTCTGCCTGGGTGTAGAAGTGTAGATTATCCACATATGATATGAACGATAAACATAATCCTTTCGTCAGAGTTGGTTCAATGCTTTATGTCATGTCTATTCATATCTATCGTCATGGCTGTCAGCTGTGTTCTCACTGCCGTTTACAGGACCAGTGCGCAGCGCAATGTTCGCTTTCATGTCCGCGAGCTTCGTCTTCCGTCTTCCGATACATTTGCATCAGCTCCAAGCGGTCTCTGATGTCCTCTGCGGTCTCGCCGAGAAGAGCAGTACCACAAGCTAGAATCATGTTTGTATCAGCGAGCATCGCAGTACGTAGTACTCTCGCGTCCGCCTTGATTTCCATAGAAGCGGCTATTCTCTTGTCAATTGCCGTTCGCTGCTGCTGTTGCAGCTGATTCGATCGGCCGGTCTTTGCCGCCTTGCGCCCAATTGGAGTTAAATATCGTTTGCGCTTCCTTCCTGTGCTTCCTGCCCGATCACTCTCGACCCTTCCAATCCATCAGCGTTCCCGAGCACACCGCTACCCTCCGTATCTTCCTCAACGGCTTCGCAGCTTCGTCCGCTGCAGCGACTGCCTTTGTCCGCCTCCAATATGATGCCACAATCAAGCCTGACATTCGATTTAGTCGAAGAATTCGTACCTACTCGACTCGGCCCACTGTCAAGGGAAGGTGGACTAGGGGAAGAGTTGAACACTTCCGGGCTGTCCGCTGCCGTTCCTTCCATATAAAACTTTGGCAACTCTTGTAGCACCACAAAGGAGTCGTACGTTGGCCATTGCTTACGCGGAAGGTCGTCAATAAACCTGTATTCCATTTTTTCAGTCCGCCCCATATGGATGGCACAACCAATCGCATGTATTTGCGTTCGCTTGACGGATCCTGTTGGCTTGATGCATGAACGCGTCCCAGAGCAACTCTGTACCGCTGTACCCGTTTCAAAAATTCCGAAACTGCTTCTTGATTAGCTTGAAGTTGTACTTGCATTTTCCATCTTCGTTGATGCAGAGTGAGGCGATTTAGCGACCATGGTAGTCGGCGTTGCGCGGGTTCAGCAGTACAAACTTGTCCGCTGTAGTCCTCGAGAAGCGTGAACCTGTCTGATCCACGCCCGCAATGGGATCGTTCGTTGCAAAGAGCCACGCGTCGTATAGATGAGGGCATTCAATTGACGTCCAATTGCGCCCGCGGCCCATGATTCTTGATCGAAATCATGCACCTCTGTATGCGCGGTATACTGGCACAGATAGTACTTGATGATGTGCTTTGACCACACTACTAGAGGACACGAAAGGCTGATGTATGAATACCATGGCGTCGCGCCATGGTGTTGGCGCACATCGATACGCCTGGATGAAAGCGCGCGACACGCCTGCAGAAGAGTTTCGGTTAGCCTTCCCGCGAAGAGGGGGCACAGTTGGGTGGAATTCGGCTGACACGCCTGGCACGTGGCGTTCTATATGGGAATCTATTCATCGAATAGAACGTTTTTGGAATCTATCGGCGCTCGGATAGATTCCGAAATGATTCTATTCGATTTTGGAAAGCGATAGAATTGCGCGGTGGGGTTGAAAATCGTGACGGGAAATTCTATTGATCAAATAGATGTGCGCAGTGGGGTTGCTCTTAGGGATATGAGACCAGCTTCTCTTCAAAACAATATATTAAATCGAAACTTTATAAAGCCAGTTTGGACGCCTTTTCTTTAACGTACATGCGCTCGGCAATAACATCTTGCAAAACATTGGGATAGAAGTTTTCAATACACAGAAAGACTAAGAATCGTGTGAAGCTTCAAAAACCGGCTGGCATTTTAAACAGGCGTTTTGGTTTTGAAGGTATCAATATATAACGTTTTGAGGTTGGTCAAAAAGGCTTTTTTAGGCATTCTAAAAATGACTGCAAAAGACGGGGAGATCTCACCAAAGTCCACCCTTCCGCAACGCAGAAGTCAACTGCAGTGGCGAGAGTATCTTTTTCCTTCTTGTTGAGCAAGCACAAGTCGAGAAAAATCAAATTGACAAGTGACCTCATATGAGGTCACTTGTCGTCTAGACACTAGGAGTTGAGCATCAAAACCACAGATTCAAGAACCCAAAACAGAGGAAAGCAAGACTAACTTGGTGTTCCGAGACTACGTGCTCAGCGATCTAGTGCTTGAAGATTCCGTGAACCGGCGGTAGAAGGAAGAACGGGTCTCCTCGACAGCGGAAGACATGCGTCTGCCTTCGTCCTCCGCCGTCGTCGAATGCGCGACAGCCAGGGGAAGGACGTGATTGTCAAGCAAGGGTGAGGGGGGAACATGGTCGGTAAGACAGTTGCAGCACCAATCAATGACCCATCGGACGAGGTAGAATAAGTTGACAATAACGACCGTACACAAGGCGAGAAAGGAGTAGGTGGATTCCCACGGAAGGTCATTGTTGGGGTCGGAAGTTGGTAGGGGTGATACGCTACCAGGTGCGGGAAGGGGCAGCGGTATGGCTTTGGAAGAGTGTGCGATGAGCGAGAGTGTGAGGGTTGAGACAATGAGAACAGAGGAGCAGACGAGGCGGCAGGAGGTGGGGAGGGAGGGGTCGAACATGGCAACCAAGGCTTGTGTTCAGTCAATGGGCCTCGACAGTTGTCAGTTGAGGTTGAACGAGGGGGATCGATAGCAGAGGTGACCGGTTAGGGATGGGAAAAGAAGGAATCAATTCATCTCCGCCATGGTTGGTATGTGCGCCTGTGCTAGTAGGATGCACTCTTATAGTGAGTGGTGCATCGGGCACTTGCCCTTTCATCTGTCAGGCTGACCCTATCTTACCTTTCACTTTTCCTTCTTTCTTCCATCATGGCGGTGTCTGCTAGAGTATGATGAAGTGAGAAAAAAATTACCTCCATGGGCAAGAAGGCGAAATGTGGAAATAGAAGTCTTTTGAGAATTGAAGGATTGTGCTTGCCTCGCTGGCCTCATCTCACATCTGTCAGGCTGACACTCTCTTACCCCTCAGTACCTTGCATTCCGTCATGCCCGTGTGTGCTATAGTAAAGTTTACTGCATGATGAGGTGAGAAAAAAACTACCCCTGACAAGGAGGCAAAATGTAGGAATGCTTGCCTCGCTGGCCAATGGCGAATCTGCAATTGGAGCCCTGGGCTTATTGCGCGTCGGTACTGTACAAGACGCGCCGTGTGCCTTCAATACAGTTTCGAGACCGCTCGACTCATCCGGAAAATTGTACACGTCGATGCCTTAGGGTGTGTCTTAACATGCCCCGTTTTGCTGTGGTTCGCTTTGCTTTGCTCAAAGAAGTGATTTGGCGTGCTATGAGTGGCTCCTACGTTTTAATTTATGTGTTTAAGAAAAGCAACGGCTTAAGAAGCATACGGTATTTGTTAAGAATTTAAAAGTATTCCTGGCAAAACCGGGCAAGGCAAGCAAAAACCAGCCTGTTAAGACACGCCCTTACTTACACCACACCGGTCGACCCTGTGTGACAGTCCAAGCAATTGCTTTTAAGAAAACCCCTCCCTTACCTTGCCTATACTCCTTCACGTACTGTACCTTTAAAAACACATACCTCTAAAGTGAACAAATCCCATCCCATTAATAGAACCCTTCTCCAGACCCTCAGAAGTGCCTGTTCCATACATGCCCCCGTTTCCGGTCGGCCTCGAACAAACCGTCAAACAATTCCTCCGAAGGAAGAACTGCACACTCTTCAATCCAATCTCGACACCAGCACACTAAATGACACAATTGAGTCATATTTCCAACAAATGCCCTGCTAATCCGAAACAAGTCTCTCTTTAAACCAATCCCTCCTCTCCTTCTTTCATCATTACAGGTCGCACTGACCTTCATTTTCGGGAAGAATCTAAGTATGTGTTTCGGTCATTTTCCCTCACTTTTGAATAGACTTGGTCTATTAGTCGCGAGAAGACGTCGCCCAATCTCCGCGCCGCCCCTAACCTCCCATAATTTATCTCTTTGTACTGTATTGCACAGCAAAGTCTGCCTTCGGCAGGCTGTCGGAGCATCGGCACGCACCGCAGCTCCATCTGATCCAACGGTCACTCGGCTTGTTGACAACGCTGTCGCTTGACTCTCTACACCCTTCCCCGCACACAATTCCTCTCCCCATACCCCGGTTGTCAACTGAGCGCCCTGCAGTGGAACAGCAAGCATTGCTGGTTGAAACTCGTCTTGCTGGAATTGTGAATGGCTTGCAGCTTTTTGCATGTTACAATGCACCTTAAAAGCCGTCAAACCGCTGCACATTCGCGTGTAGCACAATGTGTTGCAACATGGTGCAAGAGCCGCACTTCGCGCTGCAAAATCAAACAAAAGGATGTGCAAAATCAGCGTAAGTAGATGCATTCCAACAGTTGCGGGCGGAAACAGTCTCGCTTTCGTATTCAGTGCCTTTTGGAAGTTTGTGTCGTTCCAAGAAGATCCTTGCTGGCACGCTGGCACGCTACCTCGACTATGATGTAGCATGTGACTCGAGCCGCTGAATCGCAAAGCACAGGAGTTCATCTCAGATATCTACAGTATGTACAGTACTGTAGATGTGCCATAGGCAAAATATACGCCAGGTATTCATTATAGTGTAATGTTTCGTGAGTGATGCTCATCACAAATGAGAGAAGGAAGATGTGGAATTGATTTTGATTCGAGCATAAGATGCTCTCGGTTATCCCCAAGTTTCCAAGAGCGTTGTGAGCATGAACGGCTCTCAGGTTATCGATAAGAGGGGAAGGCCGGATATAAAACAATGTCTAGATGTGCACGGGGCTCACAAGTTTCTGCTTGTGTTCGCACGTGGTGACTTGTGTGACGACAACAGTATCACTATAGAAAACGATCGAGCGGATATGTGTCACAAGAATATGGGGAGCTCGAGAATTGACATCTCACTTTCCGACCATGATGACGTTGTAGACTCAGATATACAATCTGAGAGAGGCGCAAATCGGCATGGACGCATTTTGGTGTGCCAAAAGCATTCATCAGAGTATGGCCCCGCTTTCGAATTCGCTGACTTGTGCAAGTATGTGTCGTCGTAAGAAGATCTTGACTGGCACGCTGGCACGCTACCTCGACGATGCCGTAGCATGTGACTCAAGCCGCCCCTACGGGAGAGTTGTGCAGGATGTCTATGTTGTTTTCGAGTTCAATGCAAGATACAACTAACTTATCCTTAGCCCTGACTTCTGCTGCTCTTTTATTGGTCCAAACTGCAAGTCCATCTCAAGTTGTTGGGGAACTGTTTCCAAGCACTGACACGGGCTTCTTCGCCCAAATCTCGTCTGCCGGAGTTACACATGACACACGGTCGGTGGCCTGGACTATCTTAGGAGAAGATCCACGGATCCCAACGCTAGCAGATTGCGGGAGCGGAGGAAAATTCGCCCCATGTAGAGGTGACATGTCCTTGGACACCACTAAACTCCTGCACCTATCTCGCTGATCATGCTGATCGTCCCCATACCTATCTCGATGATCGTGCCGACCGTCTCTGCTGTGCCAGCGCCGAGCACGCTGTGGGGATCTGCTCTTCACGTTGCGAGGCCGATTGGTCTGTGATGGGACAGAAGACCGGTCTTGTACTGTCTTCAAACATGACTTGTAGCTCTCTACGTGACTCGACTGCCTAGAGGCGGGAGCGCCCCATTCCCTTGTGCGTTGATTGCGAACAACTAGGCTTCGCGTTTCTGGAGCCCCTCTGTCGGGCATCCGACAATGCGTGGTGTTGCCTTCCGAGCTAATGTCAGAACCCACTTGTTCAATTAGCGTCCCATTCATGTCACAGCACTGATCAGCAAGGCTACCATGATCCGCATTCCTCGAATATCGTGCTGGTAACCCTCGTCGCTCAGCCTTGCACGACCTGAGCTCTGAACGTGATTCAACGGAGCTCAATTGCGACAAGGGAGGCGGAGTCACCGTGCTGCGGATGTGGTACTCAGAGGCTTGCAGTTGAGCGCAGTGGGAAGACACAGCTGCCGTCGCTGGCTCTGTGCAAGAACTCTTGGCTGAATGAAGTGCCTGCTGCGCCTTGTCTCGACGCGATCCGTGATCCCTTCTTTGCCTGAATTCTGTACCTTGCGGCTGCACTAGTGCGGGAATCGGATGTGTGCGGGGCATGGATCGGGTCCCCGGGTGATCGCTGTCTAATTTATGATGTGAAGGGAGCCGATTCCCCTCTTCCGCTTCCATGGCCTGTGGTGGATGTTCAGCAGCCGCTGCCCCTCTGTGCCTTTGGGACCTGGTACTCATTTCGCCTTCCGTAGCGGCCCCATTTTGTAACGCCGTAGTCGGGATACCCCGCAGTTGTGTGGACTGCTGGTCATCCGTGAAAACAGCATGAACGGTGGCTTGTTGCTGGTCGTAGAAGGACCCAACTTGTTGTGTGAAAGCTGGGTTGTCTGCAAGCACCGGAATAGGGTAGGGAACAGGCGACCCCAGTAGCTGCTGGGGCGCCTCCACAGGGAAAGTCCCAGGTCGGCAATTAGACGGGGTAGCATTGGGTGGCAAAGCAAAGTGCTCAGGCGAGACTGGACGTTGCAGTGGAAATTGAACTCCAAAGTGCTGCGCGTACTGTTCTTCATGCGGCCATTGCTGTTGAAACTGCAGCTGGTTTGGGGCGTGCTGTGGGAGCGGATATGCAGCTGGAATGCCATACGGAGGGCATGCTAGCTGGACGGACCCGGGCACGATATAAACTGGACCTGGCATGAGGCGGACAAACAGGAAGGAGGCGTCGACCTCCAGCGCGCGGGAGTAAGTCGCCAGTGCCCTTGCAACATCAAATGGGCTTGAAGCGCCAAGCAGGGTCATTCGGGGCCAGCTGCATATCTCTGAGAGAAGCACCCAGCCATCAGGACGCATCGTACCCTGCAGGTAGCGATCGTGCGGAAGATTAGATGGACTGAAGTAGAACTCGATCTGCATGACAATAGCCAGTGTATGCTGGAAGAATGACATCTTGGAACGGGTTCAGGGTGCGATTGTGCGAATGGGATGTGGATAAAGAAACAGTGGACGACAACAACGAGAGGCTGTAGGGTGCTGCAGCGGGGTGTTCCAGAGCTTAAAAAATAGCAGGCGAGTCGGTAAAATTGTTTTGAGGCAAGAGATACAATAAAAGCCGGAAGTGCGGTTGAAATATCCTTGTTAAGATGGAAGTGCTGATGAAGTATTGAATGTGGTTCGAAAAGTAGGAAATGCGTAGGAACTGCAATTGAATCAGAAGAGGGCGTGTGAGGAGATCAAAAGGCGAGCGAGTGTTGGACAACTGAGTAGCGACGCGAAATTGAAGGCGAAAAAGAGATGGGTCAGGAAGAGGGAGAGTTGAGTTGATGAGCGAAGTCGAAGACGAAGCCGAGATGTGTCAAGCAAAGATATAGTTTGGAGTGGAGTAGGCAGTGCAGATGGTAACAGAAGGAGGTATGGGGTGGTATTTATGTGGGTTAGGAAGAGAACGCAGAGGTTGGAACGCAAATTGAAAAGATTAAGTGGCAAGCGGGAACGGTCCCAGAGAGGAGAGGGGAGGAGGGTGACGGAAGATTGTGTTGCGTGAAAGTGCGTCGGTTGTCAATTGTCATTGTGCGTGGGATACGGGGCGTGGAAAGTGCACGATTCGAGGGGCATGATTCCGGTTGAATGGCTTCGGAAATGGCGAGAATCCGGGGCCGTTGGTCGATACGGAAGGAGGGAGAAGCATCGTGATTGAGGAAAGTGGAGAGGCATGGTTGCAGCCGTGACGGAAACAGCGTCCCCACCAAGGTGGCAAGATACTGTCGCACCTTCTGTGATGACGTTGACGGTTGAGGCACGAGGGAGAAGGTTTCTGGATGGTTGCTGAATATGGAAATGTGGGGAAGCTGGAAAGCATTAAAAGAACCGTCTGGACCGCCAGGACGGGAGAAGAGTTAGGGGTCGATGTCGGGTCATGGGTTAAACTAAATGCCGCTCGAGGGAATATATGTTTACGTGTCGCGTGAGGAGATCACAGTAGATCACGGATCAGAATCATGTTGGTGACGTGTTTCGTCACGTTTTTTGGCTGTGGTGCGTGCATGTGTGGATTGAATTAATTCGTCATACAGTTCGGTAAACGAGATATTGCACACCGCTGAGGAGGGTGAGAAAGGCGCATTATTCACAGCGTGCATTGCTCGAAACATCCACATGTCGGCGACCCCAACTGTACAGCCCAGAAACTGCGGACACGTGTGAACACCGCTTACTTTTGGCAGGACTGAACCATGTGCACTGTTCACGAAATGCGCTACCCAAAAGTGCATTGCTACAACACTGCGCTGTGCATACCTTTTCCTGTCCTAGTGCTACTCGTTCTTACTCTAGCTCTAGACTAGAGGTGACTTTCATCCAGCCAATATGTAGAGGTTCACAACTTCTTGATGATCGCCAACGAGATAATTAATTTACTATACGGCATAGGCGCACAACGCGTGTGCTTCTACTTGGCATAGTCTACCACTGAGGGTGTGGGACTTTAACAACTAAAGCACTTCACATTGCAAGGAACCAGGACTGAATGTGCGCATGATTCTCTGATGCTCTGAGGTATTCGAACTTTTCAAGACAGTTGCATTCGAGATTACGTGGCTATAACGCCTTCACTCCTTCAGTCGAGAAACGACAATTCTCTCCAAGTGTATTCTAAAATCACAACCAATCCATTCGCCTCATCTTTCTGTGAGGTTACATTTGCGTACGAAAGAGATGTTCGAGATCGCCTCCACTGTTGCAACCAACGTGTAACACAGACAAAGCATATCTTTTTCCTCAAGAAAACACCTGGGGACGCCTACGTCTCACACACTCACGCCGAGTCGACAATATCACTAGACTCTTTAGGCGGGATAAACAGTCGCGCAACTCACAAAGTGTGGACATAGATTCGTACGCGCATACTGCCGCGCTGGAATAAATCGCGCAGAGGCCGCCACGTCCAAACATGCTAGTGCCAGTCTGCCCGCAGTTGCCCTGTCATTTTACAATAGTGTGTACGCTGCGTGAATTACGTCTTCCATAGTACTTTTTGAGCATTGGCGAGGCTCTTGCTCCAAACCCAGGATTCAAATATTGTCATCGCGCTTTCTAAAGCGCGATGACAACATTTGAATCCTAGCTGTCGCCTTACCTTGATGTTTGACTATTTGTTTATGTAGAGACCATGTTCACTTGCAGGAATAGGGCGTTCTTGTAGCGCCTTTACACTTCCATTTCTTGGGCCTCTGACATGCATGAGGTGTGGTGTAAATATCCTCTCAGAGGAAATGAACTTTTCATGTCATAAGCATGTTGACAGAGGTGGGATAGAAAATCGCACTTCCCTATTCTTTTGTAAGTGAACACGTCGTATTACAGTCATTAAGCAATACTGCGTTTTCGAGACAGGTCTTTGTGTGGATACCCGCTTAATATTAAGGACTGGATTGCAAGCGTATAAAATGGTAAGGGATATATTAGTCTATCGGAGTCCATGTTGAACACGGTGTTTATGTAACCCGGAAACCAACCTTTTGAAGAACTTGGACAGTGAAGATATGCTTATCTCCAAATTTTCGTGCAGTTGTGTTACGTTTGCGAACAGGGACATGCAAATGTCCCCCCAAATCATATATATTTATTTGTGTGGTACAATTATGTAACATTTCTTGCGAAAACTAGCGGGAGAGTGATCGACTGTCCGCACGCGTAATATTTGCAACTGTAGTGTGGAACATAGAAAAAAGGCCTCGATAACACAACTTGCATTATAGATTCTGCAAAGCAGCAGCACTAGTTTGCAAAGTAGAAGCACACGCGTTGTGCGCCTATGCCGTATAGTAAATTAATTATCTCGTTGGCGATCATCAAGAAGTTGTGAACCTCTACATATTGGCTGGATGAAAGTCACCTCTAGTCTAGAGCTAGAGTAAGAACGAGTAGCACTAGGACAGGAAAAGGTATGCACAGCGCAGTGTTGTAGCAATGCACTTTTGGGTAGCGCATTTCGTGAACAGTGCACATGGTTCAGTCCTGCCAAAAGTAAGCGGTGTTCACACGTGTCCGCAGTTTCTGGGCTGTACAGTTGGGGTCGCCGACATGTGGATGTTTCGAGCAATGCACGCTGTGAATAATGCGCCTTTCTCACCCTCCTCAGCGGTGTGCAATATCTCGTTTACCGAACTGTATGACGAATTAATTCAATCCACACATGCACGCACCACAGCCAAAAAACGTGACGAAACACGTCACCAACATGATTCTGATCCGTGATCTACTGTGATCTCCTCACGCGACACGTAAACATATATTCCCTCGAGCGGCATTTAGTTTAACCCATGACCCGACATCGACCCCTAACTCTTCTCCCGTCCTGGCGGTCCAGACGGTTCTTTTAATGCTTTCCAGCTTCCCCACATTTCCATATTCAGCAACCATCCAGAAACCTTCTCCCTCGTGCCTCAACCGTCAACGTCATCACAGAAGGTGCGACAGTATCTTGCCACCTTGGTGGGGACGCTGTTTCCGTCACGGCTGCAACCATGCCTCTCCACTTTCCTCAATCACGATGCTTCTCCCTCCTTCCGTATCGACCAACGGCCCCGGATTCTCGCCATTTCCGAAGCCATTCAACCGGAATCATGCCCCTCGAATCGTGCACTTTCCACGCCCCGTATCCCACGCACAATGACAATTGACAACCGACGCACTTTCACGCAACACAATCTTCCGTCACCCTCCTCCCCTCTCCTCTCTGGGACCGTTCCCGCTTGCCACTTAATCTTTTCAATTTGCGTTCCAACCTCTGCGTTCCAACCTCTGCGTTCTCTTCCTAACCCACATAAATACCACCCCATACCTCCTTCTGTTACCATCTGCACTGCCTACTCCACTCCAAACTATATCTTTGCTTGACACATCTCGGCTTCGTCTTCGACTTCGCTCATCAACTCAACTCTCCCTCTTCCTGACCCATCTCTTTTTCGCCTTCAATTTCGCGTCGCTACTCAGTTGTCCAACACTCGCTCGCCTTTTGATCTCCTCACACGCCCTCTTCTGATTCAATTGCAGTTCCTACGCATTTCCTACTTTTCGAACCACATTCAATACTTCATCAGCACTTCCATCTTAACAAGGATATTTCAACCGCACTTCCGGCTTTTATTGTATCTCTTGCCTCAAAACAATTTTACCGACTCGCCTGCTATTTTTTAAGCTCTGGAACACCCCGCTGCAGCACCCTACAGCCTCTCGTTGTTGTCGTCCACTGTTTCTTTATCCACATCCCATTCGCACAATCGCACCTCGAACCCGTTCCAATATGTCATTCTTCCAGCATACACTGGCTATTGTCATGCAGATCGAGTTCTACTTCAGTCCATCTAATCTTCCGCATGATCGCTACCTGCAGGGTATGATACGTCTTGATGGCTGGGTGCTTCTCTCAGAGATATGTAGTTGGCCCCGAATGACCCTGCTTGGCGCTTCAAGCCCATTTGATGTTGCAAGGGCACTGGCGACTTACTCCCGCGCGCTGGAGGTCGACGCCTCCTTCCTGTTTGTCCGCCTCATGCCAGGTCCAGTTTATATCGTGCCCGGGTCCGTCCAGCTAGCATGCCCTCCGTATGGCATTCCAGCTGCATATCCGCTCCCACAGCACGCCCCAAACCAGCTGCAGTTTCAACAGCAATGGCCGCATGAAGAACAGTACGCGCAGCACTTTGGAGTTCAATTTCCACTGCAACGTCCAGTCTCGCCTGAGCACTTTGCTTTGCCACCCAATGCTACCCCGTCTAATTGCCGACCTGGGACTTTCCCTGTGGAGGCACCCCAGCAGCTACTGGGGTCGCCTGTTCCCTACCCTATTCCGGTGCTTGCAGACAACCCAGCTTTCACACAACAAGTTGGGTCCTTCTACGACCAGCAAAAAGCCACCGTTCATGCTGTTTTCACGGATGACCAGCAGTCCACACAACTGCCGGGTATCCCAACTACGGCGTTACAAAATGGGGCCGCTACGGAAGGCGAAATGAGTACCAGGTCCCAAAGGCACAGAGGGGCAGCGCCTGCTGAACAGCCACCACAGGCCATGGAAGCGGAAGAGGGGAATCGGCTCCCTTCACATCATAAATTAGACAGCGATCACCCGGGGACCCGATCCATGCCCCGCACACATCCGATTCCCGCACTAGTGCAGCCGCAAGGTACAGAATTCAGGCAGAGGAGGGTTCACGGATCGCGTCGAGACAAGGCGCAGCAGGCACTTCATTCAGCAAAGTATTCTTGCACAGAGCCAGCGACGGCAGCTGTGTCTCCCCACCGCGCTCAACTGCAAGCCTCTGAGTACCACATCCGCAGCACGGTGACTCCTCCTCCCTTGTCGCAATTGAGCTCCGTTGAATCACGTTCAGAGCTCAGGTCGTGCAAAGCTGAGCGACGCGGGTTACCAGCACGATACTCAAGGAATGCGGATCATGATAGCCTTGCTGGTCAGTGCTGTGACATGAATGGGTCGCTAATTGAACAAGTGGGTTCTGACATTAGCTCGGAAGGCAACGCCACGCATCATCAGATGCCCGACAGAGGGGCTCCAGAAACGCAAAGCCCAGTTATTTGCAATCAACGCACAAGGGAAATGCGTCGTCCCAATAGTCGGGGCGCTCCCGCCTCTAGGCAGTCGAGTCACGTAGAAAGCTACAAGTCATGTTTGAAGACAGTACAAGACCGGTCTTCTGTCCCATCACAGACCAATCGGCCTCGCAACGTGAAGCGCAGATCCCCACAGCGTGCTCGGCGCTGGCACAGCAGAGACGGTCGGCACGATCATCGAGATAGGTATGGGGACGATCAGCACGATCAGCGAGATAAGCGAAGGACTTCAGTGGTGTCAAAGGACATGTCGCCTCTACATGGGGCGAATTTTCCTCCGCTCCCGCAATCTGCTAGCGTTGGGACCCGTGGATCTTCTCCTAAGATAGTCCAGGCCACCGACCGCGCGTCATGTGTAACTCCGGCAGACGAGATTTGGGCGAAGAAGCCCGTGTCAGTGCTTGGAAACAGTTCCCCAACAACTTGAGATGGACTTGCAGTTTTGGACCAATAAAAGAGCAGCAGAAGTCAGGGCTAGGGACAAGTTAGTTGTATCTTGCATTAAACTCGAAAACAACGTAGACATCCTGCACAACTCTCCCGTAGGGGCGGCTTGAGTCACATGCTACGGCATCGTCGAGGTAGCGTGCCAGCGTGCCAGTCAAGATCTTCTTACGACCACACATACTTGCACAAGTCAGCGAATTCGAAGGCGGGGCCATACTCTGACGAATGCTTTTGGCACACCAAAATGCGTCCATGCCGATTTGCGCCTCTCTCAGATTGTATATCTGAGTCTACAACGTCATCATGGTCGGAAAGTGAGATGTCAATTCTCGAGCTCCCCATATTCTTGTGACACATATCCGCCCGATCGTCTTCTATAGTGATACTGTTGTCGTCACACAAGTCACCACATGCGAACACAAGCGGCAACATGTGAACACCTCGACATTTTGCCAAATCTTGCCTTCTTCTCTCATCCATGAACTCAAAGCCCTTCATGCAACAACGCCCTAGGCAAATAAATGACTGCCGAGCATGTTAGACTCAATTCACGATAGATTCTAAACTCGATGGTGGTGTCATGGGGTGGTTCTTTTCTAGGTCGATTGGACCAAGGGCCCGTGGTGTGCAGGGATCTGCTGCATAACCGCCCCGCGGGGGCGTGAATGTTGATGAGTCTCGTTCTTCAATGTGGGGGCTGACTCCAGCCAACAGTGGCAGTGAGTGCCAAGGCCGAGGCCTCCACCGAATCGCAACGGATGGCAGGCTGCCGAGATTTGAAATAAAGCAACGATCTCTGGCAGCATCTCCGATCCATTTTGGGATCTGTTACTGCATGAAAAGACTGAGGATCAAAGTCAGAAAAACAAAAAGCTCTGAATTATCTAAATTCGCTGCAGCAAGTTGCTTCGAAAGAAGATAATTTAGTTCCGCCGACTTGGCGTCGAATTATTGGTTCATATCTCGGCCGAGAACGATGGAAAACATATGAGAAAAAGGCTCGGATCATGAGGGCCTGTTTGCGAGCCCCGTATTATAAACTCCGCTTGTTCACCACTCTCTTTCCAAAATCACTTTCGTACTCAAACAGTGCGGCATCAAACGTCGCGTTCACCGCAGCCAAGCTGACCACCGCCAGCCCACCGAACCTTTCTTCATGAATGCACCTCCACCGGGGTTCCAGAAAGTCCCGGATGGTATTACACCTTCTCCGCCCGGCTTCAGACCAGCACCACCACCTGGTTTTGTTGGCACGAGCAATGCCACGTCCACCTCCCCACCCGGCGAACAGGCCGATTCCGTAACGCCAAACAAAGAACACCAGATGGACAACCCGGAAGACGAAGCCCGTGCGGAGCGATGGAAGCAGCTCAAGCGTAAGCCTTACGCTACAAAGAATGCCTTCGGCTTTTCAAATTTGCAGAAGGAACGCATGCCGCCTGAGCATCTCCGCAAGATCATGCGTGACCATGGCGATATGTCTTCACGCAAATTCCGCCACGACAAGCGCGTGTATCTCGGCGCGCTCAAGTTTATGCCCCACGCCTTGTTCAAGCTGCTAGAGAACATGCCCATGCCCTGGGAGCAACTCCGCGATGTCAAAGTTCTATACCATGTCACGGGCGCTATCACGTTTGTGGATGAAGTGCCGAGGGTTATCGAGCCCGTCTTTCTGGCACAGTGGGGGATTATGTGGATCATGATGAGACGCGAGAAGAGGGACCGCAAGCACTTTCGACGCATGAGGCTACCGCCATTTGATGATGAAGAGCCGCCGTTGGATTATGCCGGCAATATTCTGGACGTTGAGCCGCTGCCGCCGGTCCAGATGGAACTGGATGACACGGGGGAGGACAGCCCCGTGGCCGACTGGTTTTACGATCACAGGCCGCTTTCTGACACACCATTTACGAACGGGCCCAGCTACCGAAAGTACAACCTCAACCTTGAGATTATGACAACCTTGCATCGCCTTGCGTCTCAACTCTTATCAGATATCATCGACCCAAACTACTACTATCTCTTCAACAAGAACTCTTTCTTTACCACAAAGGCATTGAACGTCAGTTTGCCCGGTGGCCCAAAGTTTGAACCTGTCAAGAACGCGGATGGCTTCTTAGGTGGGTTTGAAGCAGAGGACTGGAACGAGTTCAATGACATCAATAAGCTTATCACGCGACGTCACATAAGGACCGAGTATCGTATTGCTTTCGCGCAATTGTACAATTATCACCCACAAGGTGCTTCGCTCTCCGTATACCACTATCCCGTCGTTTTATACATGGCGCCTCAGGATATGGACTTGCCAGCATACTACTATGACCCCATTTTTAATATCATCCCTGCGAGCACAAGAGGGAAGAAGAGAACAGATGTCGAACTATACGAGGATGAAGATAATCTCGTTGGGCATGACTATCACGATGATATTGAGATTGACAGGCATCGCGCTGACAGATCGCGAGGCCGCGCAGAAGAGCACAATGAAGATGAAGATGATGGCGAATATGAAATGCCCGCTGGTTTTGCACCCTTTCTTGTGGAGGAGGATCTTGAACTTGATCTGACCGCTGCAGCCATTGGGCTCTTGTGGGCACCACGTCCATTCAGCATGAACAAGGGAACATGCAGACGTACAGTTGATGTGGCCCTGATCAGTCCTTGGTATCGAGAGAGGTGCCCAGCTGATGTTCGTGTCAAGGTTCGAGTGTCTTATCAGAAGCTCTTGAAAAACTTCGTCTACAATGAGCTGCATCGACGAAAACCCAAAGCAAGGTCCCACAAACGTCTATTAAAAGCTCTTCAGAACACAAAGTTTTTCCAACAAACTGAGATTGACTGGGTTGAAGCGGGACTTCAAGTTTGCATTCAGGGGCACAACATGCTCAATCTGCTTATCGCAAGGAAAGGGCTCTCCTTCTTGCACCTGGATCATAATTTCAATCTCAAACCAGTGAAAACTCTCACCACAAAGGAGCGAAAGCGATCTCGTCTCGGAAACAGCTTTCATTTGACCCGTGAAATTCTACGCCTCACGAAGATGATTGTGGACTGCCATGTTCAATATCGCTTGGGGAACGTTGACGCATACCAGCTTGCGGATGGTCTTCAGTATACTTTAAATCACGTGGGACAGCTAACCGGCATGTACCGATACAAATACAAGTTAATGAAGCAAATACGACAGTGCAAGGACCTGAAGCATGTAATCTACCACAGGTTCAACGTAGACCCAGTTGGAAAAGGACCCGGTTGTGGTATTTGGGCTCCATCCTGGCGTGTTTGGTTGTTCTTCATGCGAGGAATTATCCCGTTGCTGGAGAGATGGCTCGGCAACTTGCTAGCGCGACAATTCGAAGGGCGAAATACGCGGAACGTCGCAAAGACGATTACAAAGCAACGCGTGGAGTCTCATTTTGACCTCGAACTGCGAGCACAAGTGATGAATGATATAATCGAAATGATGCCACCTGGAATCCGTCATTCAAAGGCCCGAACCATTGGCCAACACCTTTCGGAAGCATGGCGATGTTGGAAAAGTAACACACCATGGAAAGTTCCGGGGCTACCGGCTCCAGTTGAATCCGTCATCATGCGTTACGTAAAATCAAAGGCAGACTGGTGGACAAACGTAGCGCATTTCAACCGGGAAAGGATTCGACGAGGAGCTACGGTAGACAAAACAATTGTGAAGAAGAATCACGGGCGTATGGCAAGGCTATGGTTGAAGGCTGAACAAGAGCGTCAGCTCAACTATTTAAAGGATGGGCCCTATGTATCGATCGAAGAGGGGGTCAAGATGTACAAGTCAATGGTACATTGGCTTGAGAGTCGTCGGTTTGCCCCGATTCCGTTCCCACCTTTATCATACAAGCATGATACGAAGCTCTTGATTCTCGCACTGGAGCGGCTGAAAGAGCAATACACAAACGTGGTGCGCCTGGATCAGTCTGAAAGAGAAGAACTTGGCTTGATCGAGAACGCGTATGATAACCCTCATGAGACGCTCAGCAGAATCAAACGCCATCTCCTGATCAAACGAGCCTTTAAGGAAATGAGAGCGGATTTCACTGATAACTACGATCACTTAATCCCGGTACAATTCGTGGAACCGATCGAGAGGATTACTGACTCCTATCTTGACCAATATCTATGGTACGAAGCAGATAAACGCCGGCTGTTTCCGAATTGGGTCAAACCAGCCGATTCGGAACCACCGCCTCTCCTCGTCTACAAATGGGCTACTGGTATTAACAATGTCACTGATATTTGGGATACTGCAGATGGGAAGACCGCCGTTTTGCTCCAAGCAAAGCTTGATCAGATGGCGGAGAAAATCGACCACTTGCTTCTGAACCGAATGCTGCGTCTGATCATGGACCACAACATCGCTGACTATATAACCGCAAAGAACAACGTCACAGTTTCATACAAGGACATGTCTCACACGAATTCATACGGAGTGATTAGGGGTCTTCAATTTTCATCATTTGTCGTACAATACCATGGTCTTCTCATAGATCTCCTAATCCTCGGGCTAAGGCGAGCCACAGAGATTGCAGGACTCTATACAATGCCAAATGACTGGCTATCGTTTGAGAATCGTGAAACGGAAACTGCACATCCGATAAGAATGTATTGCCGGTACGTCGACAAGATACACATGGTTCTGCGATTTGATGTAGACGAATCTGAAGAGCTTGTGCGGAGATATCTAACGGAACACCCGGACCCAAACAACGAGAATGTCGTGGACTATCGCAACAAAAATTGCTGGCCGAGGGATTCGAGGATGAGGTTGATAAAGCATGACGTGAATCTGGGTAGGGCAGTCTTCTGGGATATCAAGAATCGCCTTCCTCGCTCAGCTACAACAATCAACTTTCAAGACGACAATTCTTTCGTTTCCGTTTACTCTGCAGACAATCCCAATCTATTGTTTGATATGGCTGGCTTCGAAGTGCGAATAATTCCTCGATCCCGGGAAAGTGCATTACCCATAAGTATCTCGCAGCGCGACGGTGCATGGGCATTGCAAAAGGACTCTACGAAGGAGCGAACAGCGACAGCATACTTGAGAGTAAGCGAGCAGAGCATAGTGGGTTTCGAGAACCGAGTGCGCCAGATACTGATGTCATCCGGGTCGACCACATTTACGAAGGTTGCCAATCGATGGAATCAAGCACTCATTGGTCTGATGACATATTACAGGGAGGCTGTAGTTCACACGCAGGAGTTGCTCGATGTTCTTGTCAAGGCAGAAAACCGAATACAAACGAGAATTAAGATAGGTCTCAACTCAAAAATGCCGTCAAGATTCCCTCCCGTTGTCTTCTACTGCCCTAAGGAGCTAGGCGGGCTTGGAATGCTGTCGATGGGCCATGTTCTCATCCCTCAGGCAGATCTTCGCTACTCTAGGCAAACCGATGCAGGTGGAATCACTCATTTTCGTGCAGGTATGAGTGGAAGCAGTAGCGATCAAATGATTCCCAACCTCTATCGATACCTGCAACCCTGGGAAGCTGAATTCAAAGACTCCCAGCAAGTTTGGGCTGACTACGCTTTGAAAAGGTCCGAAGCCATGGCGCAGAAACGGCGGCTCACATTAGATGATCTTGATTCAAGTTGGGACCGAGGTATTCCTCGGATTTCAACACTTTTCACGAAGGATCGCCACACTCTTGCATACGACAAAGGTTGGAGAGTCAGGTTAGAGTTTAAGAAATATATGCACACTAGAAACGATGCCTTCTGGTGGACGCACCAGCGGCACGATGGAAAGTTGTGGTCTCTCACGAACTACAGAACTGACATGATTCAAGCACTTGGTGGTGTCGAGGGTATTTTAGAGCATACTCTGTTCGCAGGAACTTTCTACCAAACTTGGGAGGGTCTCTTCTGGGAAAAAGCATCTGGTTTTGAGGAGTCAATGAAATTCAAGCGTTTAACGAATGCCCAACGATCAGGCCTCAACCAAATCCCGAACAGGCGTTTCACATTGTGGTGGAGTCCGACCATAAATCGGTCAAATGTATATGTAGGTTTCCAGGTGCAACTGGACCTCACAGGATGCATGATGCATGGCAAACTGCCAACGCTCAAGATTTCCCTCATCCAAATTTTCCGTGCACACTTGTGGCAGAAAATTCATGAATCGCTGACAATGGATATTGCTCAAGTTCTGGATCAGGCCCTAGATGAACTAGAAATCGAATCCGTGAAGAAGGAAACTATTCATCCAAGAAAGTCTTACAAAATGAATTCATCATGTGCCGATATTCTTCTCATTGCAGCGTACAAGTGGCCTGTTTCGAAACCATCTCTCCTTTCGGCAAATTCCACTGGAGATGTATTCCGACCGGACACGACGACAACGAAGTATTGGATTGACATTCAGTTAAGGTGGGGAGATTACGACTCACATGACTGCGAGAGATATTCGAGGGCCAAGTATCACGATTACATAACCGACAGCATGTCGATCTATCCAAGCCCGACTGGGCTTTTGCTCACAGTAGACCTTGCTTATAACCTTTATGCAGGGTATGGTTGTTGGATACCTGGCTTGAAGCCCTTAATGCAGCAAGCACTTGCGAAGATCAACAAGGCGAATCCAGCACTCTATGTGCTAAGAGAGCGGATGCGAAAGGCCCTTCAGTTGTACTCCTCAGAACCGACTGAACCATACCTGAACAGCCAAAACTACGGGGAACTGTTTGGGAATCAGGTGATCTGGTTCGTTGACGATACCAACGTGTATCGCGTTACAGCCCACAAGACATTTGATGGAAACCATGTCACAAAGCCGATCAATGGAGCCGTCCTCATTTTCAACCCCAGAACAGGCCAGCTCTTCTTGAAGATTATTCATACATCGGTCTGGCAGGGGCAAACGCGTTTGTCGCAGCTTGCCAAGTGGAAGACAGCCGAAGAAACTGCAGCCTTAATTCGTTCATTACCTCGAGAGGAACAGCCGAAGCAACTGATTGTCATCCGAAAAGGTATGCTCGACCCGCTTGAAACCCATTGCTTGGATTTCCCGAACGTGATAATCAAAGGCTCGGACCTTCAACTTCCGTTTCAAACGCTGCTCAAGATAGAAAAGTTTGGGGACCTCATTTTGAAGGCCAAGGAACCTCAGATGGTTCTGTTCAACGTTTTCGACGACTGGCTTCGCAGCGTGTCATCATTCACTGCGTTTTCTCGTCTCGTACTACTGTTACGGTCCCTTAAGGTCAATACGGAAAGAACCAAAATCATTCTCAGACCGGATGCCAGCGTGAAGACGGAGCCTCATCATGTATGGCCTACTCTATCGAACGAAGAGTGGATGAGAGTCGAAATTGCCCTCAAGGACCTTATCTTAGCAGATTTTGGAAAGAAGCATAATGTCAACGTCGCGAGTCTAACAGAGTCTGAAGTTCGCGACATCATTCTAGGCGCAGATATTGTCCCGCCAGGGGAACAGCGGCAGCAAATGGCTGAAATCAAGAAAGCTGCAGAAGAACAAGGTCAAATTACTGCCGTAACAAGCAAATCGAAAGACAAGCAAGGCAATGACATCGTAGTCACTACAACGTCAAACTACGAACAGGCAGTGTTTGCCTCGCGAACAGAATGGCGAGTGCGTGCAATTTCTGCGGCAAATCTGCACTTGCGCACACGGCATATCCACGTCCCCTCCGAGAGCAGCACTCGAGAAGGCTTGTTCACTTACGTTCTTCCACAGAACGTGCTGCGAAAATTCATCTGCGTTGGAGATTTGAGAACACATATCGCCGGCTACCTTTTCGGTGTCTCGCTACCTGGAGACGCAGCCGTGAAAGAAGTGAGGTGCGTAGTAGTACCGCCTCAAGTGGGCTCTCATCAGAAAGTCTCACTCCCAGATCAAATCGCATACCACGAACTGCTTGTAGATCTCGAACCGCTAGGTTGGATCCACACGCAACCAGCTGAGTTGTCGCAAATGTCCCCGAATGATGTGATTGAAATGGCTGGAATGATGGCTCGTGATAATAGACTGTCGGGCGATACCGCAATCGATGTTACAGTTTCCTTCACGCCGGGATCCTGTTCATTGCGAGCCTACCAGCTGACTCCTTCTGGGTATGAGTGGGGACAGGCGAATCGAGATGCCGACGCAGTGTCTGCTGTGCCGCCAGGCTTCGCGACATCTCACTACGAAAAAGTACAGCTCCTTCTGAGCGACAGGTACAGTGGGTTTTTCCTTGTACCAGAGGTTGGCTCCTGGAATTACAACTTTATGCGAGTGAAACACAGTTCAGATATGTCGTATCGGTTACGGGTCGGGAATCCGAAGGAATTTTACGATGAGACGCACAGACCAATGCACTTCCTACAATTCACTGAGGGTCGTGCAGGCAAGGATGAAGACGTTGAGGAGTACGAAAACTTGCACGGGTGATGTCACGAATTGCGTTCTGAGGAGTTGACAGGTATATATTTATGTTCGATGCGAGAAGATGCGGAGTGGAATGGGGAGCTTCGTAGTCAGGTGGACGCAAGTAGACGAAGGTGATCCCGCATTGTGACTTTCGCTGTATCAATTTAACTAAATTAATCATGCTTCGCGGCGCATCCGTGGAAATTTTTTCTCAATGAGCACTGAAGATGCACTGGAGATGCTATGAGGATGCTGGTTTGTGGAACGGGTGAATTGAAACCGAGTTGTTCTTCTCTCTTGAACCGTGCACAAGGGAATTTGTTTGACACATTTGCACTGCGGCGAATTATAAACACCCCATGTCCATGGCCACCAAGGCCGTCTGGGGGGATCGGCCGATCAACCCAACTCTTCCATGTAGCTCAAAATTTCCGAAATTTTGACAGATCAGCAGATCACCCTTGCTCAGAGGGTTCTCTCCATTGTATTTTGACAAATCTCCCAAACTCGACGCCGTCCCCACCTCCGAAGCCCTATCGGCCCTCAGTCTCATCCGTTCCGCGTTGCTCCCGACTCCCTCTGTCGCCAAGATGGGGTCCTCCCACCTCTCGCTCTGCGCCCAGCGCCCTCACCCTCGCCGCCCGCACAGTATGGCCTTCGCGTCTGCAGCGCTTGCTTCCAACGCCACCCTCAGTCCAAACCTCCCGCCCGCTCCAATCCCGCTGCAGGACCTGGGCCCGTCAGAGCGCGTCGTCGAGGTTGTTCTCGCCGCCAGCTCAAATCTTCTTAACGGTGCCATCTTTGGTGCCCTCTTTGGCTTTGTCTCGGGCGTCTGGTCCACGCGTTCGCTGCGCGGCGCCTTTGCCGAGGCTAAGAACAACGGACGCTCATGGGGCGCGATCTCGGGCGTGTATGCAGGTGTGCAGACGGCGGCAAAGGTCATCAGGAATAGGGAGGACAAGTTCAATTCAGTTATCGGTGCGTGTGGAAGTGGCGCCGCCTTCACGGCAAAGTCAGGGCCCAGGGCTGCCGCGCAGGGGTGCGTAAGCTTTGCAGCCCTCAGCTACATTATCGACATGCTTACTAGCGGACAGAACAAGGAAGATCCGACGAGTGATGAGGCGATTCTTAGGAAGAAACGCTAACTGCGCCGCGCCATCGTCGAAAGGGTGACAAGTGGAGAGGGAGGGCAACTAGTGGCCCTTTCCGTGGTACAAGACGCTCTCTGGCGCCCAGGTTTTGATAAGACGTTTGGAAGACTCTTGAATGATCGAGTTGTGATATTGTCGTGACCTGTTTCGTGGCCGATCGGATGACTAATGCAGATATCCGTGAAAGCACGGTGTCAAAAGGTTTCGCGCAATGTTGGCTTACTAGCGTTACTGATATGTAAATTGGTGCCTACATTATCTATCGTGCCAGTATCCGAGAAGAAGCGGTTGCTTTATTTGCAATGGATGTGAATACGTTCTTGGGCTGGCCGCTGGCCCTGCTTCGGTTTGTGTTTCCTCGTCACATTGTACGGCAGCATCACGCCGACGGTCGTCAAGGTCAAATCACGTCATTTTTGTATCCGCGGCCTGGGTAGTTACTTGATTTCTGCAGGTATCATCGGATGGATATCGAATAACGACTTGATTGACCATCCGCACTCGGGGCATGTGGCGAGGTCCTGCTGCAGAGCGTCTTCCAGGCAATAGACGTGATGAAAGTGCCCGCACGGCAGCTGCAGATACTTTTTCTTAACATCTCCTCCAATGCAGAGCCCGCATTTGTACCCGTCGAGGACACCGTTTTTCTGCAACTCGCCTTGACGCTTTCGCGGAAGTGCATATTCTTTACATAAGCGATGAATCTCATCACTGTTAAGTCTTCTCAGGGAATTGTCTTGAAGAAGTAGGTGACCAGCTTTCTTGATATTTTTTTCATTGTTTGCCTCGGGTGCTTTTCGTGCCAAGAAGAAAAGAGCAAGTCCTAATGAAAGTATTCCGCTGGGGAAAAACAGCATCTTCATTAACCATCCGACGGCTGTGTCATTGAAGTATCCGAAATTGCCGCTGTCTACGACCAGGGGCCTTATCTGACGCAAGACTTGCGAAAGCAATCCAGTATGCATGAGTGGCAACTTGTTCAGACAAAAAAAGGATATGAGCGGGCAAAATGAACGAGTCCACGACAGGTAACTGGAGAGCTTTGCTTACGTTTTCACGTTTCCTCAGGTATGAAAGAGTAACGATTCCCCCTTTTAGCCCGAAATAAAGTCATCTCCCCGCGCACGGATGGGTTATTGCCCGATGGTCGCGACTAAGAATCGAGGGAACACGGGGGAGCAAATATTAAAGCCCAAGCAGGTCGATTCCGGGGGTTGATGTACAGCACTCTCGTGGGAAAAAATTTAGTCTAGTCGGCTGTCGTTTGCACGTACAGCAACACTGAAAATCACAACTCCCATGGGGCGCCACGGAGAGGTTGTGCCCTTTTGGCATCGCCGACTGAAAGGCACAACAAGTCGAGCGCCAAAATGGGCTGCTGTCACTTCACAGGGGCCAGTCCTCTCCGCACGCCGTTCCCCGAGCCTAGTTGACCCGCAATTGTTTCGGAAATGGCGCGTAAACGGAAGAGCACTGCGCACAATCCGCACCTCGTTCCGGTCAACAACTCAAACACAGTATGGCCTCTCCCATTTTACACAACCTTGTAACTTTCGTACAAACTACGCAACATGAATAAGCTAGTCAACATAAAAACCAGGCGACTTTCTACTGCCTCCCGATCGAGAACAAAACGGCCAAGACCTGTGCGGCGGCGCCGACAGCCGGGCCACCCGGCTGCGGCTCCTCGGTCTCGTCCCTCCGCTTCCCCTGCTGCATGCCATCGACCCATCTCTGCACGATGCGCGCCACGGCGTCGAGCAAGCTCGGGCGCTGCACGCCCTCCACGGGCGTCTCGTCCTCCGCGGGCGACTTGTCAGCGATACCAACCGCGGCGGGCGCAACGTCCGAAACGGCGGCAGGCGCGCCCGTGAGCGCGGTATCCGCCGTAGGGATGATGGGCTCCGCCGCGCTGACAACGGGGGCGTGGCCCGCGGCGTGGCGGCGCTGGTGGTGCGGGAGCTTGACTATGTCCGATACGCGGCGGACCTGCG